CTTTATTTTCAGTCAGTAAGACTATAAATTGTAATTATAACCCATTACATCTGGGTTATAACCCAGTTTATAAAATTCAGACTTGAGAAACTTGTTTTAACTTTCAAATGCGATCGCGTTTTATTGTTTTATATCATATGTTAGAATTTTCTATTATAGAAAAACTGATATATTTATTGTCACATATTCTTTTGAAGAATCATCAGATTCCTCTTTTTCTTCTTTTTTTTTGTTATATATAAATTACCTTTTTATTAAAATCGTGTATTCTCAAAAATAAGGCACGAATTTCCCATACAAATTAATTATTAGAATTTTCTTTGTAGAGAATTTTATTAGATACATAGGTAATTATTTTTAAACTTTTCATTTTTTAAATTTCTTTTTAAACGAATTTTTACTTAACAACATTTTTAGGTGATGAATTTTTAATTGACTTAATTTTTATTTTATAGAATTCCTGTTTATCCAACTTATTTTATAAAATTCTAATTTAATCGATGATTAATTTAAGCAGAATTAAGAAAATAATAACAAAATTTTGATTCAGAATTTTAAATAACATAATTTCAAATTTACCGGATCTTCATTTTTCTGAATTTACAGTTTTAGAAATTGTTATTTCAAAGAATTGTTAAAATTTTCCAATTTTCATTTGACCAAAATTGAAAATGACCAAACAATCATAAACAAAAAGATTTTAGCGCAATTTTTAATATTGGTCAATTAGAAATTATCGAGAAAATTATATTCAATTTTATAATTCGCGCCAGAATTCTTTTATTGGTTCTGTTTGTTCGGTCAAATAAAAATTCGGTGAAATGAAGATTCGGTGTATTCGAGTTTTTGGTATTTAAAAATTAAAATAACCTAAAATTGAATGAGAATTTTGCTAAATTAATATTTGATTAGATTAGAATTTTTTAAATAAAAAATTGGGTAAACTGAAATTCTGTAAAATAAAAATTCGGCACCAGAAAATTTTAAGTAAAATTTAAAAAAAAAAAAAATCTATCAAATGTTAATATTGAAAAATGAAAATTTGTCTAAAACATAATTATAATTAATAAAATTCTTTAAATTGAAAATTCTAATGATTTTCTAAGGGAAATTCGCCCAGATTCAAACATTGGTAATTTAAATCATTATAGTGTTTATATAATCGTATAGAATAATTTCTGCATTTTCTTATATTCAAAATATTATTTACACGCGGCGGAAGTGTCTCTTGCATAGGAAAGATTTATTGAGACAACCGCAAGAAGGTATATATACAAGGCCAAGATAGGGTCATGACATGTATCAGGGTTAAGATCTTGTACGAGAAAGATAATTCAAGGATAATGACAAGATTATCTTTCTATAAAAATCATTTATTTTTTTCCAAATAATCCTATTTCAAATGTGAAAGAAAATTTCTATACAGTTATATTAGGGAAATTGTGTATCTTCAATATAGAAATTACTTTTTATAATGGAAATTCAAATATTTTATTTACTGTTATTTAATAGCACAATATTTTTTGTAGACGAGAAATTATTTTCTAATGCGAAAATCTCTGGATCCACGTGTGAGATCTAGTACGCATGTTTTAAAATATCCCTTCCTTTTTATGTTAGGTTGACGATCATATTCGGCGGTTAGTGTGTCGTTTGACGTTACACAGGGTGAAAAGTTTCCGCAGCTTCCGTTTTTGGAAAACATATGTGCAATGTGTTTCTCTTTTAAATAGAATCCATTTACGGCAAATGAATGTCGGCCAAGTATAAACTCGTCAAGATTAGGAAGAAAAGAGCGTAAATACATTATTGTTACAGTGAAATATGTTTCTAAAGTTCGTAGTGTTTTTTTATTTTATTTAGTTGTTGAAATTACCATCCAAGCTACAAGATTTCAAATAATTAATAATTATTAATAATTTCCATTAATTGTTTCCAATTCAGAAAGTATTGCAAATAAAAAAAATTTTTTATTTGAATTTTTGTTTAAATCTGAATTTGATTCGAATGTTAAAAATAATAATGCAGTTAATTAAAACAAAGTTATTGAGAAATATTATTATACATATATTAATTTAATTATTTTGACAATTTGAGTGATATTTTGCTCTAATATCTCTCAGTTGATTTTTAATTAATTTTTTAATGGAAATGAATTTATTTTTAAACGTCAATAATTTGTCTCATGTAGCATAAAAGTTGAAAATTCGTTTAACTCACATTTTATTGTCAGTCGCTTCAATGTGCAGACTTTTCTATTTATAAACAAAAATTATTGATCGTTTAGACATTTCGGCAAAAAATATCTCGCAAAATTCGCAAATGTTTTTTACATTCAGATTTTGCTTCATCAAAATTTTTAGTTATACAAAATTTAATTTTTTTAGAATTTTTTTTGTTGAATTAAATTCAACTTAAAAATAACAAATGAATAATAATAGAATAATTATTTGGAATCTTTTTTTCGTTATTTTTTTTTTCGAATTAATTTCTGTTTTTATGATTATGATTTTTTTTTAAATTCGTGGTGAAGAGGGCATTGCATGTTGTGCAATTTTGTATGAAGAAAGAGCACGAACTGACTGACAATATAAGTGAGATTCTCTACTTCAATGAAAGGAAACGAGAGTGCAATTTGTGGGCATCCCCCTATATATATTGTATAAAACATGGTTCATCCCTCCCCCCCCCGTGTTATTGTCATTATTATTCGTCTGTTAAGAGGTTGTGGCTTCTCTCTACTCGCGGAGATGATACCGCACCACAATATGCGTCTAGCCACGATTGTTATGGGGTAGATTAAAGGAAGATTAAACACGCGCTCGTGCTCACTGCTCGCACAATTTCCATATCAAATATATTACAACTGGCGAACATGAGAAACAGGTTTTTTTCCGCCTCCTTAACTCGTTCTTGAAAATTTCTTTTCTTTACATAATACCGTTTTTTTTTAATTTAAAAAAAAATGTTATCAATTCATGCGACCGTGACTTATAATATACTTATTTGTATTTTTAAAAACTTTTTATAGAGATGATTTTATCAATTAAAAGCTCATTTTTGATTAAATAATTAACTTTGTGATATGCTGATGAAATGCATATATTGTGACGCTCCACGATCTTAGCTGCTAATAAATTTTAGGTTATGTTTGTTTTTTTCATCACACACGAACAAATTTGCTTATTTTCTGAAGCTGTAGAGCAAGTAGAAAGTGGCGTTTAGTAACCCGAGAGAGAAAAAAAATGTTCGCGCCTGCGCGTATGCCACTTAATTTCACTTTCCTCCCTAGGGACAGGGAAGAAAAAACTTTTTTCCCTATGAAACAGGTGGTGTTCAATAACAAGTGGCGCCATCTGACAGAGTACGTGACTAACCCTTTCATCAACTTGTCAACTGCAGCTATGTTCAGGTCATTTTGATCAGTAGTCATCAGCCATTTTGTCGTTGTATGTTCTCAGTATACAAAAAAGTGTAAAATTATGGGTAAAAATAGTGAAATTCTGGCCTATCTAATCAAAGGAGCAAATATTGCAATTGCATAAAATCATTCTAATTACTTTATTCTTTTGAGCACGTAGATTTGTTTCGGGGGGCTTCGTTCCCTGACCCCTCCAACTATATGGCAACCTATCATAGGCTTTTACAAAATATTAAATTTCAATTCGAATACAATCAATAGAAGTAATTTTATTCTTATGAGAGTATTTTTTTTCTTTCGGGGGGCTTCGCTCCCGAACCCCCCCCCCCCCTCTCCACGCCTACACTTTGGATAGTCCCTCAGTAGTTTTTTAATATAAATATACCAATTTTATAATTTTTTTACCATTTCTTTAATTGATGGAATACCCACCCCTTGTTAACTTGACTCGTTAATAGAACAACTTTCTTCCCTTGTCACACAATATACTATTTAAAGTGATACAACAAAAAGTAATTAACTCTTAATACAAACCACTGATGTTTAAGTTTTCATTAGATTCAAAATATTCAATAAAAAAACTAATTTTGACTTTACTTAAATAAATAAACGTATCCTCCAGAAACTGGTCATTTTTGAGGGAGAATTTTTGTTAAGTAAAGAATTGAATTGAAATTTAATTTCTTTTATCAATTTCTATTTATTGGTATTTATACTTGAAGTGATCACTAAATTATTTTAATAGCAGAAGACTTTTACTGATAAAGTACTTTCAGCCTTTTCATCTGTCAAAATAAAACCGGAAACTAACCTCAATTAGTGATCCAGACACGTAACATAAAGGGGTACTGAAATATTTATCTTCTAAAATGTATTACACAGACCTGCGAAATTTCACTTTACTTCGGTTACGAAAAAAAGGAGAAGTAATTTGCAGATTACGAATTTAATCTCCAAAATGGTCCATCACGTCAGAATTTTTTTGTAATATTAACTTAAATGGACAAAAATTGCTATTTTGGCCATTTTTATGAATTTTTTGTGGCTAACAAATTTTTTTATTTTTCGAAATTGTGCTGTATTTAAGTTTTAAAACCCATTTTAGTAAATTGTCTTACGATTTTTTAAAAATATTATGTAGATTTTAATTTTTTTCATTTAGGAAAATAATTTATTTTATTTATTTATTATTTTACTTTTATAAAACTATGAAGTATGAGGTATATATAAGAGGGGCAATAATAAAATATTAACACAATTTTCAACAAAATCACATATAATCATTATTCTTATATTGTAAATTAATTGCAAAAAAAAACTGTTCAAACAATTTCTTATATGATTTTTTGTAATTCAAGTAATTTTAATATTTTTTATAGATACTTGACTAAATGATAGAAATTAAAATCTACTTTTTTTAGGAAAATCGTGAAACAATTTACAAAAATAGTTTTTAAAACTGAAATAGTATACAGGATATTTCGGAAAATGAAAAAAAAAATTAAAAACCACAAAAATGGCCAAAATATACATTTTTTGTCCATATATTGAAAATTATTATAATAATTTTATACACCAATTTTATATTATGAAATTTTTTAATAATTATTTATACATTTTAATTCAAATTATCAGTTGGAAAAAAAAAATTGTATTTGTCAGTTGATAGAAAATATTGATATGTACAAATTTTTTTATCAATAATTTTTAAGTTTAAGAAAAAGCCTTTAAAGAAATAATTAATTGCATTTCCATTTCGTTGTAGGCGAGATTTCCTATTTTATAAAAAAAAAAAAAATTGTAACAGCTTTTATCACATAATTTGCGTCTTCCAGGCAATTGTCCTTCTTTTGCACATCTGAAAATTGATTACGTGGTTGAATAAACCATATGGTTATTTACAGGAATAATGTATTATTTCAGAATTTCACAAAATTTGAATTTATTTATAGAAATTTTGTTTTTTGAGCATTTATTTTTTTTATATGAAAAAATTTGTTATATGAGAGAAACTATAAAAAATTATTTTCTTTTTGTTAAAGTCGTTTTTTAATTAATTTTATAATTTAACCGTTATTATAAAATTAATTATAACAAATTTTTTACTCACCAGCCATAATTTTTGTAATGGCCGCAAAATAAAAGTTTGAATACACCACACTGCTAAACTCATATTTAAAAAAAAAAATAAATAAATTTACATTGATGAAAATGATTACTTATGTTACAATTTTTCTCTTAAGAGTTACATTATCTTTTTTAATAAAAAAGGTGTTGGTAATTTTTTTTTTTTTTTGCAATCACGTTGATATTTTTGAGAAATTAATTTTGCGAGCTTAGTCAACTGTCACAAAGTTTACATTGCTTGTACCAGTGACATTGAAGGAAAATAAAAAGTGGTGGGGACTTGCGGTGTTGGCAGTTGACCTATATATTCTTAAGCAATTATTTACATATTATTATTTATCTCTTTATCTTTTGATTAAGTTTTACAAAAATTGTTCTTTAGTTAATAAATATTTAGTATATTTATTTTTTTAATTAATTATTATGTGTAAAAAAATTTGCCTATATATAATATATTTAATAATATTTGTGTCGCGTTTTTCCTGAAAATATGCTACTTGTAATACACATAAGAATACTTTTTTGTATACGAGGTACAAGTTGCATAATTTAAGGGGTGGAATTTTAAATTTCTAGTTTTTCTTGTTCAAATATATAATAAAATAACGAAAAATATGGTTTTGAGATAGGAAATAGAAAAAATATATTCTTTTTGTGAAAAAGCTGTTACAAAATAAAGATTAGAACAGTTGGTCATCGTCGAGAGAACAAACGTGTCTGTCGGTCGTGTAAACTTGCCTCGTTAATCTTAATCATTCGTGGAGACGCATCTATCTAATTGTCCATTTTTTTTTTGTTTTTTAGTATTTACTTTGATTCTGAATGATTTTTGTCTTCTAAATTTCTGTATTTATACACTGAAAAAAAATTTATTTGATTCAAATACTCGATTACTTAACTATTATCAAATAAATATTTATATTTGATTGATTAATTAATTTATTTATTTATTATTATTTGAGGTCAATTAAATGGTATTTATTTCAAATACAATTTATTTCATCCAAATAAAAATTATTAGGTTCAAATAAATATTTATTTGATAATAGTCAAGTAATCGAGTATTTGAATTAAATAAATTTTTTTTATTTTTATTTAATAACATATTAGCTATTTTATAATTAATTCTGTTTATCCAATATTGTTAAATTGAATTAAATAAAAAATAATTACATTTATTGGTGGAAAATTGATAATTGAAGTTCTTTTTATTAACTTTATCGAATTGTTTCTGCCATTCTAAATCTCTATAATCAGGAAAAATGTTAGACACTAATTGGAGGATAGTTTATTGTGATTGCTCGTTTCTGTTCAAAGATAAATGGACCAATTTGATCTAAATTACTAAAGTCGAACAAATATTTAGAAAGTTTTTTTTCTAATTTAATTTCTTAAATTTTTATTTTAAAATTATTTAAATTTGAAAAATTTAATTCTTAATAAATTATTCGTAAAATTCTCTGACATGATAAAAAGATTTTATTCAAGTTTTTGTATTATTGGCTTGATAAAAAGAGTTTTCTTAAAAAAATTTTATTACTTATAGAAATTTTGTTGAAAAATATTTTTGAAAAAATAAATTTGCATTTTATTAATAGAAAAAACATTAGTAATATTGCATTCAAGTTATTATTATTATTATTATTATTGTGTATTACTATTATTAAAGGGAAAAGTTTATTGAGATGACAGGTGATAAGATACATCTGTCTCGGTGCAAAAAAAAAAAAGAAAAAAATCAATGAATTTCCATCTCCTCGTGCAAACAGACCGCGAATACCATGACTGACGGCAAAGCTCCGGGTCAAAGTACCTTTACTTGAATACTTCTCTTGTTTTAAGATAATTATTCTATGTTTGCACTTTGCGAGAAAAAAAAACGTAAAAATATTTTTAAAAGTAATTTAAAAAAAAATTTTAACTACTTTTTTTACGAAACCAATATTATAAACATCTAATGTGAGATTTATTCCCAAAAAAGTAGAAAAGAGAGCAAAGAGAAAATCGATCGCTTTATAGCTATCCTCTCTTGAATTTATGCTTTCTACTTTAAAACTTTAGGAGCTCTTTGTTTCCACATATATATATATGTATATCTGTATAAGACTTTCATGTGAGATAAAAATGAGATGAAAGCTTTTCAACAATCATTATTCTCTTGTGCGAATTATAGAATTTTTTAAAGTTCCATTTTTTTTAGTGCAAAAAAATTTTTGAATAGAGAAATTTTTTTAATTCAAAATTTTATAAATTTCAAAGTTTTTTAAATTCCTTTTTTATTTTTTGCTGATGTAATATATTGAATTTCTGAGATAGTTTCTGATTAGGAAGCTGTGTATAAGAAATGTCAAAGTATTAAAACCCAACCCTTGCCTCCAGTTAAACACATCCGGCTGCTAGATTGATGTCTAGCTAATTATACCTGGACCTTAATGGGTGTTCAGAATCAACAGACCAAGATAATATAATAAACGTCGCGTAACGACTTAGTTTTGTTTCGCAACTTCCGTAGTTTGTTTAAATATATACATACATTTATTTATATTCAATATATATTGAATCCTTTTAATTTATCATTGAATGATCAATAAATAATTTCAAGCAAAAGAAATATATAATCTAAAGGAAAATACAATTTCAAAAAAAAAATACATATATATGGGTACATAATGTGGGCTGAAACCGTTAATGTCTAATTTTAAACGAAAAAAAAACTTTCTACAACAATTGACAATACATAATACTATATATAATTTTAATGTACCAGCATGTTTTATTGATTTTGCGATATTTAATTCTTATATACTTTTCAACTGGATTTTAAAATGTATTTTTCATGATGGACTTTCATAAAACTTTTACTGTTTTATATTTAAATTTATACGTTTTTAAAGTTTATAAACATCGAATAGAAAATTTTGATTTAAATAATTGGATAATATTAGATATAAATATTTTACATGAACCGAATAATTTTCAGTTGAATCAAAATTAACTGTATTTGAAACAATTGTTCTTGTATTTAAATAAAAAATAACATTTAGATTCAAATGAATGAAAAATTTAGTTACTATTTTTTTCATAAATTATAAAATAATTTTTTTTTTTGTATCCAAAAATAAATTAATAATTTATTAAATATTCAATGTAATTTTTTTTCTCATTGCTGTAGTAATTTTCGAAAAATTTAAAAAACTAAATAATTTCGTTCAATTAATAAAAAAAAAGAATTATAATAATAATGATAATTTATGCTTAATTATTTTTGTCAGATATTAATAATTATAAAATTAGTCAAATGTATGGAAACAAAATCTTCGTTTTATTCCGTTAATTTTGATGATTTATTAACAATAATAAAAAATTTATTTACATTTATAATTTATTAACAAATATTTGAATTTGCAAAATTTAGAAACTCTTTTAGAAATGAAATTGATTCATTTTGTATTCTAGTGCATTGTGGAATATGCATCAAGTAGCAGTAAAAAGAAATAAAACTTCAGTCATTGAATTAATTAAACTCTGCAATAAAAAAATTTTCTATTCTTTTTTTTTTAAAAGATAATTTTATTGTTACTCATTGTATGAAATTTACAATCTTAAAGAGAGTATGATTTATTGCTTAAATATAACTAAATACTAATTAATACACTGAAAAAAAATTTATTTGATTCATAATAATCATTTACTTGATTTTTATCAAATAAATATTTATTTGTGTCAAATAATTATTATTTGAGTCAATTAAATGGTATTTGTTTCAAATAAAAAAATTATTGATTCAAATAAAATTTATTTAATTGAAATAAAAATTATTTGGTTCAAAATAAATATTTATTTGATAATAGTCAAGTAATCAAGTATTTGAATCAAATAAATTTTTTTTTTCATTGTATAAAAATATGTTAAAATATTTATATTAATAATTAATAAAAAAAAATTTAATATAAATATTCATATATTTATTTATTTTTAATAATAGTATTGTTGAGGATTATAATATTATTATTATTAATAAAAATTGAATCGTTAATTAATGTTTGTAAGGTAGAAATATAAAATTCACATGTATTTGTCATGAAAAATTAGAGGTTATAATTAATGGTAAATTAAAATTATTATCTATAATCAAATTGAAATTAATATCTAAATAAACAATAAATTAGCAAATGGACGGAGTATGATAAGATTCACTTTTTTTTAAATTGTAATTTAAAAGTGATTTAGAAATTCTTTACCATGAGAATAAATAATCATTATTCCATCAGGCAAATATAGTAATTAATAAATAATTTGAGTAATATTTATCATTAAAATTACAATAGTAAAAAGTTATTATAAACAATCAAATTGTTATATAATAAGGAAAAATTTATGAGGAATAATATATTATAAAACTTAAAAAGAATTAAATCTATATCTATCAATAATAAAGAGTTTTCGATTTACACATTTTTATCACATAATTATAATAATATAAATTTAAAAAAATAATTTTAAAAATTAAATTCCTCTTTCACTCTACGTGAAATAATTTTTAAAATTTGTATTCAACACTTTAAATTTATAATTATTTGGATTAATTACCATTCTACGTTGCACGTTATTGTTGTTCGTAAATGGAAAATTTGAATTTTGCTCTCCAGATTTTTGTACATTATTGCTGGTAGAAGATGGAGAATCATAATTTCGAAATACCGGTTGACCATTGTTGTTCGTAGATTGTTGTGAATTGAAATTTTGATATTCCAATTGTCTGTTATTATTATTATTAAATAATGGAGGATTAAAATTTCGGCCATCGACTTGTCCATTGTTAAATGGTAAATTAAAATTTTGTCCAGGTGGAATATTGAAATTTCGATTGTTTAGAGGTTGTGGAAAATTGTTGTTGTTGTTGTTGTTGTTATTTAAAGGTGGAAAATTTCGAATATCGGATAATCCATTATTGTTATTATTATTATTATTAACAGGTGGTTGAAAATTAAAATTTCGAAATTGAGAATTATAATTTTGATTTTCCGGTTGTCCATAATTATTATTTACATAGGGTTGTCCATTATTATTCATATATAATGAATTATAATTTCTCGCATTTTCTGATTGCGTTAATCCTGGTCCTCCATTTTTTAATACATAATTGAAAAATGCTCCCAACGAATCGAAATTATTTCTTGTTGTTGCATAATTATTTACCAAATTTGGATTGTTTATAAGATTTTGTAATGATTGACCGTTCTGTAATTTAAATTAATTAATATTATTTTTTTATCGATATTAATTTTTGTTATTATTTTTTTTTTACTTTTTTTTTATATTGATAAAAATAAATTTGAAATAAATAGGTGAAAATATTGTAATTCTTACCAATTGTGGTAAAACGTTTTGCACAAAATTACTGATTTCTCCATTAGCAACAGAAAGAATTCCATATGGTAGATATGTTTTTATAATTTTTTCCACCTCTTCAGCGTATTGGGTAAAATTGAAATTTTTCACACCACCTGGAATTTTGTTTATAAAAGTGTTGACCAAGTCCCTTGCCATTTGTTGTAAAACTTCTTGGGAGAATACAATGTCAAAAGTCTTTTTATTTTTTTGAAAATCTGAAAATAGAAAATTATTTTTTTTACGCTAACTATAAACAAAATGAAAATTATTTTTTTTGTTATACAACAAATTATTCCAAAAATTGAATTTTTTTTCACTATTCAAAAAGATAATGTTTATAAATAATTTATGGAAGAAAAAATGTTTTTTAACAATAATTATATTATTAATTTTTTTTTTTTATTATTTACCTGGATTGTCATTAGTGTTCCGAATAATAACTTTGTGTAAATCATCGACTTTAGAATCATTTATTAAGGGCGCGTTCGGGGAAACAAATATGCTCCCACTATCGGTGACGGATTCTGTCTGGCGAAAATTAAATTATAGAAAAATAATACATAATGATATAAATATATAATTTAAATATATATAATTATACTTCTATAAATATATTTATTAATTTTATATTTATTTCAACAGAGTTGAATTATTTTTATTTATTATTATTATTATTAATTAATAAGTAAAAAAAAACATTTTCGCTCACCTGATTAGAATTAGTAAATTCATTAATAATTTTTGGTTCATTTATACCAGATTGTGTATAAATCTGTGGTGGTTGATTTTGAATTTCATTTTCTTGATTTGGAACTTGAATTTCCTGAATATTTTTTCTATTTTCAGTAAGAAATAATTCTGGAATTATTGCTTCCTTTGGTGGTGTATTCGGTATTAATTGTTGATATAGTTGTTGTTGCTGTTGTTGATTTGTATCAATAAAACACATTTCACAAGGTTGATTCAATGAATTAATTTTATTATGATTAACTGGAAGTGGCTGTGTTAAAATGTAATAATATCCCGGTTGAATAAATTCATCTCCCCTCACAAAATTTAACGATAAAATTATCGTTAAAGGAATCTGCAAATAATTAACTTAAATTAATTAAAAAATTATTTAACGAGATTCTATATAATAATGAAAAATTATTATTATTATTATTCAGTTAAAATAATATCCATCATTATACGCGTTTATTATATATTTCCATGAAATTATTCAATTTTACCTTCTATCAAGTGTTCTATTTTATTTATTATATAATTTAAAAAATTTAACAGTATTAGAAATTAATTATTTTTTTTTGTGATATGAATTATAGGATAAATTATATTTGTCCTTTTTTTTATTATAAAAAAAAAGAAAAATTATTACCAGTAAATATTGCTTAAACTTCATAGTTGTTAATTGAATGAGAATAAAGTGTGAACTGATTCAAATATTAAGAATGAATTACTTTTCAGGTTACTAAAAAATGCTGACGATAGATCCTCACAGACTTTGAAATTTTATCAATTTAGCAAATTTTATTCCCTTACAATGTAATATATAAAGTGTGATGAAACTTGTAATGAAATCTACAAGTGGAATTGTTTTAAGCAATGTTTTAAATTTTTTTATTATTATTATTATTTTAATTAACCAGTTCATTTTGTTATAGATAGTAAATGTTTTATAAACGTCTATAAAAATAATAAGAAACCAGTTAATAATTACATGTAAAATTTTAGAATATTTTTATGTTTCTTCATAATTTATAATGTTTATTTTGTAGATTATAATTTTTATTTTATCCTTTATTTAAAATTTGTGTTAAATTTATTTTTATATAAGCCAAAAATTCTGAACGTACAAATGAACAAAATATTTTCTTTAATTTATAAATTATTAAAAATTATAATATCAATGTAAAATATAACAGTAAATTAAACAAATTTAATATTAAATTCATAACTTCTTTTTAGATATTTAAAACAATATTTTGTAATAAAATTCGTACTTAAAGAAGATGCGAAAAAAGTTTCGTACGTTTATAATTTAAAAAAAAATTTTTTTTAAGATATTTATAGTTTTTTAAAACATTTTTATATACACTGAAAAAAAATTTATTTGATTGAAATACTTGATTATTTGACTATTATCAAATAAATATTTACTTGAACCAAATAATTTTGAAAATTGAAATTTTTATTTTGAATTAATAATTTTTGTATTCGAAACAAATACCATTAAATTGACTCAAATAATAATTATTTGACACAAATAAATATTTATTTAATAATAATCAAGTAACCGATTATTTGAATCAAATAAATTTTTTTTTTCAATGTAGATTTTTAAAAATTATTTTTTTTTATACAGTTAATATTTATAATTTTTTAAATAAATTTCCTTTTTTATTATTATTAAAGTTTATTTATTTGTAATTGAAAAAAATATAATTTTTTGTTGTTGTTATAATCATTAAAATAAGGAAAAAGGACTTTTAATGCAACAGTTTATGTTTAATTTCCTTTAATAAAGTTTATGAGTCTAGTTTTTAGACGTTAATATTGAGACTCCTTCACACTAGATTCAGGTGCAATGAACTTTTATTCAAATGTACTTCACCCTTTGGCAGGATAAAAAAAAAAAATTAAAAAAAATGTCTTAATACATTTACGGGTAAAAAAAAATTTTCTTTTCGCAAAAAATTACTTTCATTTTTTAAGTGTATTTAAAAACGATAATTAAAATAATTTGGATATTTAAAATTTAATAATTAAGTAATTAATTAAAGCAATAAAAAATATAAAAAATACCAAAAATATACATATTTTCACAAAAGCAAAAAAACAAACAAACGTGTTAACTATGCGTTCTTAAATTTTTCTCATTCAGCAAAATATCGTTTTACACTGTTCAGAATGTTGAAAATGTGTTTGATTATTGTAAAATCTTGTAGTTAATTGTAATAAAATTCCGTCAAACATTTTTTTTTAATATTTTAATTCTTATGTTATAATACATAACAATAATAACAAAATAATAAATTTAATATTTATTATTATTATTATTATTATTATTCTGATTAATATTACTATTATTATTTAATAAATAATAATAAAATTACATTCAAATTTTTAATTTTTCATGACGAAAGCTCCAAAATTTAAAAAAATGTTATATAAAATTTTTATCATTATACAATAAATTGCTCTATGAGGGAGGGAAACATAGAAATTGTTCGAATATGGAAATTTCTTAGTTGATATTCTGTTCAGATATACTTGGTGAATAAAGTTTATGTCAATTGGAATAGTAGTAGACGTTCAATCAAGCTTTAAATGTCCTGTTATTTACTTCAAATTACTGACATGAAGAATTTGTCAAAAAAAAAATCTGAAATCCTATGTTTTTAGTTCAAAAAATATTTTATTATTTTTTATTTATTTATTCTTATTTTTATTATTTTATTATTATTTTCTTAATTTTTTCTTAATATTAAAATTATTCTTATAGGAAATTTAATTTCAGTTGCATTTTAAAAGTGAGATTTTCCTTTTTATTTTACAAAAATAAATTTTATATATTGAAAAAAAAGATCAATTCCCGATTAATGTGAATATGAATATATATATTAATGGAATTTTCTGTTTCAGGTTGCGTATTCGGTACGTGATGCCGGCAGCGCATCTAACGCTGCGTGAGGAGGACGTGGTGCGACTTACATTGGAGTTCTTGCATGGACGAGACCTTCACATATCCCAATTATCCTTGGAACGTGAGACTGGAGTGATAAATGGCCAGTACAGCGATGATGTTCTGTTTCTTCGTCAACTTATTCTCGATGGTCAGTGGGATGATGTATTGGAGTTCATTCAACCATTGGAAGCGTTACCTGATTTTGATATGAGAAAATTTACTTATTCAATATTGAGACATAAATACGTTGAATTATTATGCATTAAATCAGAGGCAAATGTAATAATCACTGGTACTAATGGAAGTGTTGATAATGCTGTTGAGGAAGTTGTCAAAGTACTCAGCGATTTGGAAAAAGTTGCACCAACAAAAGATGAATACAGTAGTTTATGTTTACTATTAACATTACCACGTCTCACCGATCATTTACAATATAAAGACTGGAATCCAAGTAATGCACGAGTTCAATGCTTTCGTGAGGTGCATCCACTTGTTGAGAAATTTTTACCTGGCGATCGAAAAAGTTCTGATCCATTACATCCGGTGACGTCGGCAAAAAATGATAGACTTATTCAATTGATTATTAAGGGAATTCTTTATGAATCGTGTGTTAATTATTGTCAGGCGAAAGCTACTGGATCCAAAGAAAGTGAACAGGTAGGAGATAAATATTTTTTTATTGTTTTAAAATATACAAAATTTTGAAATATTTTTTTTCATTTTTAGATTGAAATGAGTTTCTCGAGGCTATTGGATGGCTCAGTGGGATTTAGCGATTCGGATCTTAGTTTATTGTCATGGTTGCAGAGTATTCCATCGGAGACGTTTGCCGTTCCATTTGCTCAACGAACATTAAATGTTGATGTTGAGCGGTTAGAGAGACCTTCGTTAGAGACTTCGTGGACTGAACATATGTTAATTACGCCAATTAAACCAAAAACTTTTCCTCATAGTGCAATGCCCTTTACAAGGCCAAGATCAGCGGCTGATATGATGTCAAGGAGTTTAGTTCCAGCATTGGAGGCTGGTTTGATGGGACCAAGAAGCCCTGGTCCAAGGAGTACAATGATTCCATCGGCTGCATTAATGGCATTATCGACAGGTGATATTAATCCAATGTCAAGATCATCATTTGCCAGCTTTCATCTCACTGGATTTAAAAATAATAAATTAATGAACACAAGTGTTGATCGTTTATTTGAAAATGAGGGCGATGTCTTTCTTAGTTCGAGTTATGCGGAATTTCAACAATTACCCTCAATTCAAGAGGCGATTAATTCAACGCAACCCAAAGCGACACAACTCAAAGCACGAGCCAGTTCCAAAAGTCCCGATGGTGAGTGTTAAATGTTTAGATATATTAAAAATATATTTTCAGCGTTGTCATAAGTTAGAAAAATGTGAGGGAATTTAAAAGCAATGAGCTGGAAGAATGTTATAAATCTATTTTTACTATTGTAAGATTCAGCGACACTTAAAAACATTGAATTCCAATTGAATTTATTTTTTCTACCTTGAAAATATTTAAATCACTTTGAATTTTGAAACCAAACTTTGAATTATTTAAATTTTATAAAATAATATTTCTGATTTCCATAACAAATCAACACATTTTTTTTACAATTATTAACAAACAAAATATATCAAAATAATTGAATTTTTTGAAGATTAACAGGTTCTATTTTTAGAAATAATTCAATTTCAGGCGATTTTAAATTAAATTTTTTTTATCAATTCACAATCCTGAATTTTTTGTATACGAATTTTAGACAGTAATTAAATTTTTAAAAAACTATTAAAATTATTGAAAATTATTGATTTGGCTAAGAATTTTAGATAAAAATTTATAAATACTTAAATTTTCGAATAGTTCCTATTAAGATTTTTGGAAGTAATTGTATTTCAGAAGATTTAAAATTGCAATTATTTGTAAATTTGAATTTCTGAAATTTTTTATTACAAATTTTTAACAATAATTGAGTTTTTGAGAATTTTTAATAAAAAATTTTTGCAATTAATTGAAATTTCGGAGAATTATCGTTTTTGTTTAATTAATTAAATTTTCAAAGTATAGCAGTTAAATTTTTTGTTAATGATTAAAGATAGATATATATGTTTATTCATTGATATTACAATAAGTTTCGTTTCTTTTTACAGTCTTTCATTTATTAATGATTAAATTTTAAATGATTTTAAATTGAAATCAATTTTTTTTTAAATAGTAATAATTTAAATTATATTTTTGAAAATAATTGAATTTTGCAAAGAATTTAAATTGTTTTTTTATACAATGTTTGTTAAACATTTTCATTTGATCGAATTTTTATTTATCACAATTTTTTAAAACAAAATTCACGTTTGATGAATAAATTAATTGTCTGTAAGTCAGGGAAAATTATAATGAAAATTTTGTGGCAATTATGATTTTATTAATTTTATTAATAAAGATACGAGTAAATTTTATATTAATATTATCTACAATTCATTAAGTATTCAATTATTTATCAGTTAAAATTTTTCTCATTCAATTATTTTATAAATTTAATTCTATTAAAATTTTAATTGTTTGAATAAGTTCAATTCTTTTAAAATTAAATTGAATTGAATTTTAATTAATTTATTTATTTTTTTGAAAAAAGGTGTCAAGATAAATCCATCGGCGGCATCTACACCTGAACGAAGAATGCCTGGTCGAGAGTCACCTGCATTATCGACTGCAAGAAGCTCAAGGAGGGATTCCTTAACAGATAAACCAGTGGGTGTTACAACTAAAGTCACTGATGCTGCAATTAATCATCCAATATCATCTGGAGACAATTTAGAGCAAAGTTACAATGGCGATCTTTTTAAAGAATATCAAAAACAAAAGCAAAGGCTTCAAGAAACGATACAACAAAAGGAAAGGGAGAGGGATGAACTTGTTAGACAATTATCAGCACCTGTTGCTTCTCAAATTATCGACAATCGATTGCACAATGAAAAGTGAGTTTAGTTTTTAAATTTAATTTAAAAAAATAATAATGCTGATGAAATACAGAGAAATTTTTCTCATGGTTGAAAATTTAAATTTTCATACAGAATTTTCACTTCAATAATATTAATAATTCAAATTTCCATTGAATTCAATTTTAAATTTTTAATTATTTATTAATAATAATAATAATTAATAATTAATTTTTTTTCTATAAGTCGGTAATTTTTTCCGAAACTCTTCCCACGAGAGAGATGCGTTTTCATCAAGTTTTAAAGAGATGGCACCACGTGATTAGAATGTTTAAATTTTTGAGCGCGTATTTTATTTTCTGTTAATTAATTTATTAGCATGATAATTTGTAACTTGAAAGTTTCTTTTTTATTTTTTGAAAAAAAAACTATTAGGTGATAAATTTTGTAGACATTTTTTTTCACGCCAAATGGTGAAATTTCTTATTAAGGTTTTAACACTTTGTTATAAAAATAGTTGACTCGCAGTCTAGACGTAAACATACGGCACCGATGAAAATAACCCTTTCAAAACCAGCTACTAGTGAAAGAAATGAGAAATTATTTTAACCCCCTTCTTGTCGGCATTAACCTTGCGGCGCCTCTTTAAATCTTGAATGAAATATCCATTTTTGTTTTGGTCTTTCATTCTATTTTTAGTATATTCACTAAATAAATTTGAGTTTTTTGCAGAATAATTCTCAAACTTATTCAAATAAATATAAAGAATATTATTAATAAATATTAAAATAAATTATTAATAAATAATAGTATTATTATTTATTATTTATAGTCCATGCCTTTCGGCTTTGAACGAACTTCCGGTACATATAAATAAATTTAAATTATAATATAATACAAAACAAAAATTTAGAGATAAATATAAATTCAAATTCACTTTAAATAATATCAGTAAATAATATCGATAAATAATATCAATAAATAAATACAGGATTTAAATATTAGATATTTCTAATATTCATTGAATTTTTATATATTAAAATTTTTAATTTCGAATTAATTATTTTATTAATTTCTTTAAATTGTAATAACAATTTTTGAAAGTTGACAATAAATTAAATTAAATAATTAAATTAAATTATAAAGATTAAATATAAATTAAATATTTATTTTCAAATTTTTTATTTTATTTTTCTCAGATGAATTTATTATTGTAAAATATATTTTACAACTTTAGAAAATTGAAAACAATTTTAAATTGCGTATTTAAAAATGGTAAAAAAAATTGAGCAGAACATTTCTGTTCATATTCTTGGAATTTTAATTTTGCGGATAAAAAAAATGGTTATTTCACTTTCTTAAAGTGTTATTTGAGTTTGCCGCATAATTGGTAGTAAAAAAAAAAGAGGGAAAACAGTCGTATCGTAAGCATTCTTAAATGTCGCATTAATCTTAATTTACTGTTTCAACAAAAATATAGTGCGTTGTCATTTTTGATTGTGCGCAAATTACGATATGAAAAATATCAATTTTCGTTTCATGTCAAGGTTTTCAATTTCGTAAAAAAAAATTACATTCTGAACAAAGTTGTCGAAGGAAAAAAAATTTTCTTTTTTAAAATAAATATATTAGTTCTGAATTTGTAGTTGTTTTTTACAAAACTGAATTTATCTGAGAAAAATAAAATAAATTTTAAGTAAAGTACAAAAAGAAAATGGACAAATGAGAAATTTTTTTTATGTTTTTTAAATGTAATTGAGAATGAATAGAATCGAAAGTGGAATTTGGCTATAGTTCGTTGACATCCTTTGACGATATTGTTTCCGAGACCATGACCGGATGCCGGATGTATGAAGCACAGTCATGGCGAGACTGTGTTCCAAGGCTTGTGGTCGATAAAATTTGTTCGATTTTGAATACATTTTGATCGACATTGCAATCTGCAACTAAACAAATTAAAAATAACTCAAAATTAGTCAAGTAATACAAACATTTTTATTATTTTTTTTTAAACTGTTTTGCTCAATTTTTTTTATTAATATTCTTTATTCTTTGTATTTTAATAAAGCTTCATTAAATTTATCATTTTTGATTCTAATGATCAACAAGATTACAAGATACAAATAGTGAAGGATAATTTTATTATTGAAAAAGAAAAAAAAAGTTTTATTACAGAGATTTAATCTGAAATATTATAGCAACGTTACTTATTTATTATAACAGAGATAACATAAATCGTAAATAAAAAAAAAGAATATAATATATATAATAACAATCTAATTAGAAATGATGAGTATTACTAGAGTAGAAAAAAAAATAGAAATTGATTTAGTTAAACGAAGTGCAAATTTTGTCAAATATATTCTCACTGAAACGATAAATATATTTCCTTTTTGAGTTTATCGCGTGTCGGATCTTTATAATATATTTTTCTTAAAAAGAATATATTGTTTATTATTTATAAAAAAAAAATAATTTATGATAAAAATGGATTCGAAAGTAGATCAGTATATAATTATTTTTAAAGTCCATAATTACAATCACTTTCTCGCCTTTTCTCTTCTGGTATTTTTGTCTATTATTAATAGGTCATATAATGGGTAAAAATTGTTTAGAATACTATTTTTCACTACTCACTAATTAATTTTCTAAGATAATCAAAAATTTACGGATCTTTTGAAAAAAAAGTGTTCCTTATTTTTCTCGATATTGCGAATTTTATAATTGGTACTTTCAATCTTCAACTGAAGATTACTTTTTAACTATACACTAAGAAGAAATGATTTAAATAATCGGTTACTTGTCTGTTATCAATTAAATATTTTTTTTTTAATTTCTTTATTTCTCCATATGTACATTTTAATATTTATTTGTATTAAATAATTATTGAGTCAATTAAATGTTATTTGTTTCAAATACAGAAATTATTGGTTCAAATAAAGTTTATTTAATTGAAATAAAAATTATTTGGCCCAAGTAAATATTTATTTGATAATAGTCAAGTAATCGATTATTTGAATCAATTTTTTTTCAGTGTGTATAAAAATACCTTTAATGATAACATCATGGAGCGTGATTTTACTTAATAATAATTTTCAGTCAGTGGTAACATGGTAATTTTAATTAATGTTAATTAGCCTTAAGAACTATAATTTTAACAAAATTGAAGTTATCTAAACTTCTATTTAAAATAAAGTTTACTATTTGTCTGAAGTTACATGCAGAAAGTTTCCGTCGATTAAAAAAAAATAAACGGTAACTTCAATAACTTCAATCGACGGGTATTATATAGTTCTTACACAATATATAGGTCAATGTCTTTATTCAATGAAATCATATTTGATCTTGATTTTATTATGAATGAATGTCTCTGTCAAATAATAAGCGCACAAGAAGTTTATATATATACAGGAAAATATTTCAATATCGTGACTTTTTCTATATACTAACCCCATATATTCCAACAAGGAGAGAAAATAATATTATTAAATCACAAAAAAAATGGTAACAAGAAACAGTGTTAAGAAAAGTTAGGAATTTTATAATTGTTCTATTCCTGCGCACGAAATAGTTTGCGAGAAACAAAAAAAAAAGGATTACGTAACTTGTGGCATATTTTAAGTCCCTTGTGAAATTAACAATATTAAAGACACGTGGATTAAATTTTACATATATATAGTAATCGTGTATATTTTATAACATGAAAAATAACGGCTGTGTTGTGCGGTCGTCTATTTGCTATATTTTACTTCACGCCATCTGCTAGACGGTCATGTGTTCGTATACATATAAAGTATGTTTGGAAAAAAAAGTATATGTACATACACATACAAAGTTTATTATAAACATTTTTTTTTTTTTTTTTTTTTATTAAAATGTTGAATTTTTCCCCCCTCGTGAAATTTTAATTATATATCACAGGATATTGTCTTAGGATAAAAATCTTTAATTTATAGTAGGAAGACAATTAAAGAATTTTTGAATTAAATATAATTTAAATGACTCAAAAGAAAATTTTTATTATTTTTTTTTACAATTATTCCCACGACGAAATGTTTATATAAAAAAATATTATTTTATTATTATTATTATTATTATATTAAATATTTATTTTACAATAGGTAATTATTTAAAACTAATACATTTTTTCAGTATTATTTTTATTATTTTTATCGTGTATATTTTGTTTTTGAAATAGGGTAGCCACAAGTCTGGGAAAAGTCAAGGAAAAACACTTTTGTCAAGGAAATTCGGAAAATTGAACAAATTTACAGAAAAAATCAATTATATATTTCATTTATGCGTATAAAAAGTTTTAATTTCTTTTTTCTCCAGCGGAAATAGAAAAATATACAGTAGGAAAATACAATTTTGTAACTTTAAATTATTAAATTTCTAATTAGTTTAATAAATTTTGGTATTTTGGAACAGGAAAAAAGAAATAACGTTTTTTTAACATTTCCTGTTCCAAAATATCAAAATTTATTAAAATAATTGTTTATTGATTGAAACAAAACATCAATGAATATTACTAGATTTCTATTGCAATACACATTAAATTAAAATAAAGCTGAAGTACGCAATGTTTATGATAAACGATTTTTAAAGAAATAATTTTTTAAAACGAAAAAATTCTACAAGTTTTTGCCTAAAAAAATTATAAAATTTTTCATTTTAAAAAATTATTTCTTTAAAAATCGTTTATCATAAACGTTGCATATTTCAGCTTCGTAAATTAAAAAAAAAAAAAATTAAGGAAAAAATTTTTTAATATCAGGGAAATATTAAGAAAATTGAAAATTTTATTTTTGTGGCAACCCTGAAAAACTGTTTTTTAAAAATTTAATTCTTCTTCAATTTTTTGAGAATTTTGAAAATCAATTACGAAAGTGAAAAGTGGAAATGTTACTTCATTTTTCTCTATTTTTTCTTTCATAAGTTTCCTGTCATTCCTTTATTGCGATGTTTGCTCATGACTTAAGGCATATTTACTTATGTGATTCAGGGACAATTTTTTTGTTATCTTATTTTAGAGACGTTTTCTCGTTTCCTTTGACTTTTTTTTTATTTCAATTGCGCTCTCATTTATACATAGAGACAGAAGTAGTTGAAACGAAGCAGTAAAATTAAAAAAAAAATGAAGAATAAAGTTATAAATATAAAAAAATTAGAAAAATTAAATTTATATAAATTTAATTTAATATAAATATATAAATTAAATATAAAATGAAATAACCAGTGAAGTTAACTAATTCGCAAATTATATTAGTTAATTAAATAAATAAATTCAATTATTAAAATAAAATTGAATAAAAATTACCGATGTAAATTTAGATTATCATTGATTGAAATTTACTCGGGAAGGAAAAAATAGGAAATTAATTTAAATCAATCACACTTGACTATATAATTATCAAATTAAATAAGTCAAATGATTATCATTTGTCAAAAAAAAAAAAAAAAAAAAAAAAAATGAGGCAATTGAAATGAAAATTAAAAAAAGGGGTGAAATTATCCAATTGTTATTACGATTCATGGAAAATGACATGCAATAATAAATATAATAAATATCATTTAGTTATTTTCTCTAATTGAATTCAGGAGAAATTTTCATTTCATAATTATCAGTTGATTGCTCATTGAGAAGTATGTGTTCAGTGATAGTTTTATACAATTCTTAGAGCGCAAATCAAAAGCGCGATTTAAAGGAATAACCCGCGGGACTTAGTTAAAACACAAACACAAAGTCATGGGAAACATGTGTGCTTATGATTTACACATATACACATTTATCATACTCGAGTGCACTCACACACACACTTGTATCGGGACACAACGCATGCTGTGTTACAAGCGAGGGCTGCTCAGTGCTCTCAGATAGTCTACAGCGTACTTACAGGACGGTAGTGTTGTTTAAATACAGTTGCATTTATACTTTTTCTTTGTATATTGTTAAAAGAAAAATAAATAACGAGTTTTTTTTTCGGCGACGTAAGAAACAAATTTTTGTTTGTAATTTTCATAAATTATAAAATTGATAGAAACAATTTTTTGTTAGTGGAATTTTAAACGTCAACTGATTTTGGTCCATTTTTTACAATCAAAGAGGATTTTTTAAAACAATAAAATTTTATAAAAAAACATTGCAGGATAAATAAATTATAAAAATTATTATATTGTGAAAGTTAAAATATAATATAAAGTCGGGAAAATATTCTTAAAATACATTTTTAATAATAATTTTTGCTAATACAAAAAAAAATATTCTTGAAAAATGTTGAAAATGTTTTAATGAGAATAAAATGCAGTTTTTTTTTAAATAGTGAAAATTTTTAAATTTATTTGTTTTTCTACTCTGAATCAGTTCACAAAAATTGTGAAATAAAAAATCAATTTTGATATAGGTAAAAAAATCAGTCAATAAATCAGTGTGAATCTTGTTATAATAATTATTAATAAAAATTATTTAATTATTAATTTAATCGTTAATAATTATTAATAATAGTTATTTAATTATTAATTTAATAGTTAATAATTAGTTGAATTAAATTAAATATAAAATAAAGCTTAAAAAAATCGAATCTCTGAAAAATTAATGGACCGAAATTATTGAATATCATCCACAGATTTTAGAATGTTTTTCGAAAATAGTTGATGTGTGATATAAAAGTGAGTGATCAAAGTTGATAACAATGTTGTATCATAAGCCAACGACTCCACGTTTTCGTATCGCGGAACGTGTCAGTGTGTCTGTGAATAATCGACCGGTTTACATGAAACAGAACAATCACAGTAGCACATGCAGTCTAAGGAGTTCCGGCAATACACCGCCTTGCGTTAACCGGTAAATGTTATAACTCACACAATTCAGAGAAAAATTATTATTCGAACAAATTTTTACTCAATTTATTTTTTTTTTCTTTCAAACCAAAATTTACGATTAATTTAAATAAAAATAAAATTTTTATAAAACTGAATTCCGAAATTATTGATATTTTGGATAAAAATAATTTTTTTGGATTTATGCGAATCAAATAGTAAATAATATTTTGACGATTTATTGCGATTGACGGTCACATGTGTTTTTACAAGAAACAAATTTTTAAAGATTATAGGTAATTCGCTTAATTATATAGATGTTCGCTTAATGATTTTGTGTGTTATATGCACTTGGATCATAACGGAAAATTTATACATATTCTTATAACCTGCTTCGTCTTGCGTGAAACATTAATGTCCATAATTCGCGATTTATACAAGAGGAACCGTCATTTTTACCAAATGAACTCTTGAGAAAAATTCAATTTTTCCTGTCTGAATTTATGAGAATTTTTTTATCAAAATCATTTTTTTTTCATTATAATGATTATAGTTTAGCAGAGATGTAAAATAATTATTTTCTTTTGTCTCATTTTTGTTAGACAATATTTAATTGAAAAAAAAAAATTTCAATCTTTGTGTTGGAAATTTTACTGCTTTAGTGTATATATATTATGAAAAAGACGACATTTACATGCGTAAATATGCTTTTGAAATGATTTGTTTTCTTCTTTACTTTTTTTTTTGAAGGAAAGTACCGGTTTGAAAAAGTTGTGAAACATTATTCCCAGCTGACGTTTTTCCTTTATGTACTCAACCTAAAATTATTGTACTTGCTTTCTATTGCAGCATAAAACAACCCCTAGGAAATAAAGGACCATCACCTGTGCATACCGGCACGCCAGCTAGATCCGGTATTCAGTCACCCAAACCAACAATCAATGGATCAGACTCAGTCACGTAAGTTTGTATATATATATATATATGTTTTGTTTAAAAAATAAATAGAAAATTATATAGAATTTACTAGGTTTTCCTCTCGATTTTTTTTAGTAATTTAAAAAATTAATTTTTCAATTTTTAATAAAAAAAAATTTTTATTTAATTTTTTTAAAATTATTATATTAATGTAAAAGTTTATGAATAGACTTATTAATAGAAATAAATAATAATTATTATTGTTAATTAATAATTAAAATATTAATTTTTAATTACAGGAAGCAGAATTCAACATCATCAAACATATACGACTCAAGAATTTCAGAAGGGAACTACGACATCGTGAAACCAGTTAAGGTAGGAAATTTTCCATTTAGTAAAAAAAATTCCACAAGAATATAAAATTATTTTTTTTAAATTCTGATTTTCTATTTTTTCGCTTTACATTAATTTAAATTGACAATTGATTTTTTTTTTTGAATTTTTAAGATTTTTTCAAAAATATCGAATAAAATCGAAATGAAATTGCAGAATAGAAAATCAAGGTTAAAAAAAAAAGTAATGCCCTCAAGGAGCTTGTACATACAATTTAAATATAAATCTATATATACATGACACGGCTTCTTTAAAACTTAAATACTATAATTGGCCGCAGCAATTAGATCGATGAATAATTGCGGTCGAGATTTTTCTGAATTAATTAAGACCTTGCATACAAAAAAAAATATTGTGCAATCGGTTTATAATCTTCTTAAGAACAAAAAACAAAAGGTCATGTGACACAAAAAAAAATTTTTATGCTTTTTTTACACAATTTTTTTACAATGGAAAATTCTTGTTTTATTTCTATGATAAAAGAAAGAAATTTTACTATAGAGAAAAGAGAAAAAAAAAATCAAAGTAGAGAAAAAAAATTGTACAAAAAAAAATTATTTGCAATCTTCTTCCTGAAGAGAGAGAGAAAGAGAGATTCTCATTTTCGAAAAGAATCGTAGGCTTCATTCATACAGATTAGAAATACACAAGTCCCCAAGGGCTAACGCGTAATTATTGTACTGTATGAGGAGATTCATAAGGACGTGTAAAGAGAGTGGCACGATTCGCAATGACTTAACTGTTCTGAAAAGGATTGAGAACAACTTCACTTTTCTACCAAGTCTCATTTTGTTTTTGTTTTTTTATTATTATTAATTAGTACAAATCTCAAAATAGTAAAACGTAACAATTAAGTTTCTCTTGAGGTGATTTATTTGAAAAAAAACATGGCTTAATCAGTTTTTATTTTTTTATAATTTGCTGATTCAACAACATTTTCTGATTGTGGTAGTTTTTAATTATTTTTTATTCGGCTTTAATTTCAATACAATTTAATTGAATAATTGAAATTATCTTCAATATTAATTAAAAACATTTTCAAATATTTAATAAAACAAAATCAAAATATATATTTTCAAATAAAATAATTGAAATGACAGACATAAAAATTTTATTTAATTTTTATTATTATTATTATTTATTTGGTTTCATATGTATTTTGGCCTTTTACATTTCCCATACATAAATGGTTTTCTCGATTTTTTATAAAATTATCTTAAATTAACGTAAAACTAAATTTTAAATTTAGTTTTAAGTTAATTAAAAATTAAAATTAAAATTTTTTTTATTATTATTAATTAGTTAATGAAGTTACAAATTAATTTATTAATTTATTGAATCCGTAAAATCTAAAAAATAATTTAAATTAAATAAAATTTAAAAAAATATTAAATTAAAATTAATTTAAAAAATAATGGAATTTTTTTAAATAGTCTTGACGTAATAATTAATAGTGTACCCTATAATTGTGGTTCGATTATAGCTAAACGTCGATGTGCAAATTTTCAATAATTGTGCTCTTGTCCTTGAAACTAACAATTATAATTCAATTACAAGATGATTGTCGGCATTTTGAAATGTTTGCGTATGATGTTTGAATTTTAAAAAGAGATATTAACTCTTAACTATATTGTCTTTATTTGCTTATAATAGAAGATTCAATCAGGAAACTTTGAATTAAAAATAATAATATAACTTCTTTATATTTTTATCTTTAAATAAAAAATAAAAAATAAACTTTATTTTCATAATATAAAAGAATCATTGCCGCAAGTCTACAAAAAATACAAGTCTTTTTGTGTTTATGAAAATATAAAACTTTTTTTTTTTGTCAACTACTGGTGGTTACAACCAAAGAAATATTTGATTTGAATCAAATAAAAATATGTTTATCTTAGAGCCTAATAACTTTTATTTTAAATAGAGACATTTATATAAGAACAAATGAAATTTTATTTCGAGCAAAAATATATCTTATTTAAACTAAATAAAATTTATTTAAACCAAATAGAATTTACTTGAACGGAATAAAATTTATGTACATCAAATAAAATTTACTTGAACCAAATAAAATTTATTTAAACCAAATAAAATTTACTTGCACCAAATAAAATTTATTTAAATCAAACAAAAATTTACTGGAACGTAATAAAATTTATTTAAATCAAATAAAATTTACTTAAACCAAATAAAATTTATTTAAACCAAATATTTATTTGGCTCTGAGACAAATATATATCTTTTCTCTGGGTGTAGAAACTATTGTTTAATGAAGTCAAGAACCGTGTCTTAATTGAAATAATTGATACAATTAGTGTGACAAATTAAAAAAAATTATTATTATCTTTAGAAATTATATCCCATGTGATTTTTTTTGTTACTAATATTCTGGACAAAAAATGATTAAATTTTCCTCAATTTATTATAATTAAAAAAATTCTCATATCATGGTAAATCCGTAATATAATACATTTTTCATGTTTACTTGATTTTTTGTTTTGAATTTGAAATGCAATTTTTTACGCGTTAAAAAAACAGTTGAAAAAAATGTGAAAAGAAATATGTTCACAACAATTAGCAAATTTTTTTTTTTTTTTTGTAAAATAAAACGATAAAAGCAGAACGACACTCGGCATATTGTGTTACAATGGATAATAGCGTCACCGGATTTGCATTTCAGGGGCATTTGTGTATATCCTGAGTGACGGAAATGCCTGGCAATAGATTATTTACAACAATAATAGTGATAAACTGTAAAAATTTAAATTTTAAATTGCCTTTTTGAAAATTTCATTCATCAAAAGTCTTTTGTCAATCGAAAATTGCTTCTTTTTAAAAAAACTTTTTATGATACTTTTATTTGTTTCTATTTAATTTCGCAAATTTTATTTTATTTTATTTTTATTTGTTTCTATTTAATTTAGCAAATTTTATTTATTTATTAAAAATTATTTTAATTTGTTTTTTTATTTAATTTAGTAAATTTTATTTTTTCTAAATTCATTTAGTATTTTGTTTTATTTTTATTTAATTTTTAAATTTATTTTGTTTTGTACTTAATTTTTATTTTTTTTAAAATTTATTTTAAGTTAAAAACATTTTTCGATTGAAATATTTTTGCGGTTTTTTTTATTTTTTTGTTTCTTTATTTCTGCTTACAATAGATTTCAGCTGATTTTAGTAATGTTTGATGATCGTGTCGATGAATCAACTAGTAATTTTAGTTTAACCTCAATACCAGTTGCCATAAAATTGCGAGGAATATCCATATCGCGACTGTAAATGACACTTGATGTTTTTTTTTTTCTTCTTTTTGTACAAATTACGATAAACATTTATCTAATAAGTATTTCAATAGTCTTTTCTTCTTAAATCATTATAAAATTGTTCAAGTGCTATTGACATAATTTCCTCGTTTTGGATATATAGAGTTGACTTTGTTTGTAATTCATTCGATTATCGATTTTTTTTTCTGGGACATATCAATTACGTCATATTCATTAAATTGGAAATTAAGATCACTCATTTTTAATTAACAGTCATTAAAAGATTTATACTGAAAAAAAATTTGATTCAAATAATTAACTTGACTATTATCAAATAAATATTTATTTTTATTAAATAATCATTTCAGTCAATTAAGTGGTATTTGTTTCAAATACAGTTGCAAAAAAAAATCTGACCTTTTTTTCGCTTTTCTTCTAGTAATTCTATGCCTCGCAAAAATCAATAATAGTACATTGTTATGTAATAAGCCTTGCTTTTTTCTTCTGTGACTATCGAAAAGTTGTTTAATATTCAAATTTTGATTGCTAATTGAGAAAACGATTTGTGTCAACTCTGAAGAGTACTTGTAGCGATCTGTGTGGGTTTAAAGCTCTTTCTCATCTCATTAATAGGATCAATACTTTAGTTATAGCGATATACCACTCAAAAATAAATTATGATAATTTTTTTGTAATTAATACACGAAACGAAAGTTTTCTGTATAAAAAAATTGAAACTTAAATAAAGTTTACAGTGAAAAAAAATGTATTTGATTCAAATACACGATTACTTGACTATTATCAAATAAATATTTACTTGAACCAAACACTGAGAAAAAAGGTTTGAGCTGACAACCAAATATTTCATTCAATATATGTGCAACTAAAATTTTTTGGTTGACACAACTAAACTTTAGTTGACAACAACCAAAGTTTGTTTCAGACGACTAAATAAGAAAATGAAAAAGAATTTGGTAGTCTCAACCAAACTTTGGTTGATGTCAACTAAAGTTTAGTTGTGTCAACCAAAAAATTTTAGTTGCACATATATTAAATGAAATATTTGGTTGTCAGCTCAAACCTTTTTTCTCAGTGAATAATTTTTATTTGAATTAAATAAATTGTATTTGAGCAAATAATTTCTGTATTTGAAACAAATACGATTTAATTGAGTCAAATAATAATTATTGGAAATAAATAAATATTTTTATTTGATAATATTCAAGTAATCGAGTATTTGAATAAAATAAATTTTTTTTTCAGTCTAATAATTTATTTTTATTTTGAATTAAATAATTAAATAATTATAATAAACTAGCAAAATTAAACGAGCGCAAGCGCGCCAAATTGAGTATTTAATTGTTTGTTATAAAGAAATTAAAGATTAATATTATCAAAAATAATTTAATTTATTAGAATATTATTACATATTAAATGATAATAATGAAAATTATATGTTTACAGGCCTCGGATTATATGACTTTTTCCGATATTTTTCAAAAATACGACTTTTAAATGTAAATCTTCTTCAGATCTTCTTCAATTCAATTATTTAACAAATTTAAACTAAAATGATTCTTCACTAAATTAATTATTTTTAATAATTTTAATTAAATACATCACAAATTCAATTATATCAAAATTATTTTTCAATTAAAATTTTTATGAAATTTAACAATTGTTGATAATTTAAAAAAAAAATATCACAATAAAATT